CCAGCTTCCTCCATTAAAGGAGTGATAGATGTGCATTGAGATGAGCCTTCCATTTTTCTATTTGATAAGACGGATGGAGCAGATGTGCTCATCACCCCCCAGATCCTTGCAGGCAATAGTTTATGGATTTTGGTGTTTTTAAGAACGCATATTCCCACAACCAAGCTGCCTGCTCAGTCCATAGTAGGAGAAAAACTGGTGGTCCAGTGAGCAGAGACTGGATAGAGACTCTCTGCACTTCTTGCTGGAGCACAGTATAAAGATAATAGTTAGTGGTGATGAGTGAATTAGTGTAGACCAAATAAATCTGGGAGCAGATTTACCCAGGGTGAGAGGCAGGGCTTATCGGGAGCTGCGGACTGTGCCAGCAAGGCAATCGCCAGGACCAGAGCTAGGACCTCTGCTGAGCTACCCAGGCTAGCACGGCCAGGGGAACTAGCCCTAGCCTAAAGACAGGCTTCAGGTCCTAGATTTGTCCTGAAGCCGGACCCGTTTTCTGCTCCTAGCTTTGCTGTTGATCCGTTGTGTGACCTTAGGCAAGTCACTCGCACCTTCTTGAATCCTTTCTTCCACTGTGGGTCCTGTCTGGCCTAGATCCACTGAGACTGTTAGGTCTACCAAGCACTAAATCGCAAGCAGAAACATGCACGTCTGCCATCCTAATAAAAATTCTAGGAAAGAACCTGAACACCATGTGTTTGTGCAGTGTCTCATGTAAGTGAATACTGATCTATTAGAAATAATATAGTCAATGAATTACTTATCAACCTACCAATTCTTATTCTGAGGAAGATAAGAACATTTCCCTGCAGAAACCTTCATTGGCTAGGAGCCCTTTCTGCACATTTTCTATATTAATATCAATGGGGATTTAGTCTATTAAATTCAAGTAGTACATGGTGCATGTGTGCAGCTCCTGCCAACACTATTTTTCAATATAAATGCTGTGCATATTTGTTTTAAGCATCAGTATCACAACATGATTTGATGATTATGAGGTGTTCTGGGCTTTCTGTACAAAAATTCTTCCCATTTTAAATCTTTTCTTCTTTTTATATTTTTTTAAAAATGTGGCTGTAAATCATTTATTTAAACTTGCAATTACAAAAACATCAAAGCCTGAGTATGCTATAGTCTAATAAAGTCATTTTAATTTAAATTATAATGCTGAAATATTTCTGTTGCTGAAGTTAAGAAGCAGGTAGGAACACCCAACAATGGGGAATTATTAGCTAATTACCTGGAATGAGCACTGAAATGATAAAACAGCCTTTTGAAGCTGCAGCTCTTTTTGCAGGTGCAGAGATAATGTTTCTTTTCAGCTTAATACAGTTCATTTCCAAGTGAAAAACTGATCTGAGTGCTGGCTAAAAAGATGTTTTCCTTTCTTTTAATCTGTAATTGTAAAATCAGTATAGGGGCTAAGACACTGTCTAAACCTTGAATGATAGAAGGTCTAAACCTCCCCAGAGCCTGTGACTTCTGCTTGCAGCTGCCTCAGCAGCACTTCTCTCTTGTGCATCATCCAGGTCACGGTGACCATAGGCAGCTGATTAATTCCACTAACTTAACTAAAGAATTCCAGATTTTTTATTTCAATAAATCAGTTATCTCTTGAGGAAGTTCTTTTTATGCTTATGCCTCTAGCAGATTTAGTGTAATTGTGCTGAACTGAAACTTTTCAAATACCATTTTTCTTCACTCTAAATGCTTTCATCCAAATACTGCTTCACAGTTCTAAACCAAACACTGTACCATACCAGCCCTTGCTATGTGATGTAACTATGATGAAACTAAGTGAAAGATAGACAATTTAATAGTCAAATAAGTTTTTCTTTAGTAATTTCACAAAATAAAATACTTCTGTGGAGGTCTGAAAAGAGTTCATGTTCCAGAATGCTGGTTTTTTTGCCTATCTTAAGAGGAGGAAGTGATAGTAAAAGTTACTTTTCATTGTTGTTTTTAAAAGCTTCACAAGAGAGTCCCAGCCCATCACTCTATGGCACAAGTCAGTAGTAAGGGGTGCCTGGATTACCCTAGTATCAGTGCGTTGATAATGCTGCCAAGGCAGGAAGCAGTTTCCCACAGTGTTTGACTGTCTGCTCTGAGGTGAAGGAGGCACAATTCCACTCCAGTCCCAAATCTGGCAAGAGACAGGGCTAAGGATGACCCCAGAGGAGGCACAAAATGCACCACTCGGGGATCAGTAAGTATTTCCAGTACAATATCTGACCAGGGTGCAATCCAGACGGTGACCCACGTTCTCTGGAGCCTTGACAGGAAGGTAAAAAAAAAATACTTTAAGCCATATCAGCCCAGGAGGAGGAACTTAGTCCTCCAGGTGATTAACTCTGGAAGCTCTGGAACATGGGATTTTATTGTAATCCTTATCTTCATGTGTAACTGCAAGTGTTAGGAGCATGCTGAGTGCAATCCCCTTCTCCCCAGCCCCCTGAAGGAAGGGGACAGAGGCAACATAAAGCCACAGATCCTAAGGCTTCTAAAGATCTATAAGTATTAACTACAGTCACAAGGGGCAACGAGGGGCTTTGCTGCTTGTAAGGAACCGCTGCTCCGTAGAAACATGGGCTCCGGATGTCAGGAAAGGTGAGGTAGGCTAAGGCTGTGCTCTTGCCCTTTTAGAGATATGGAGCTCAGGCCTGGTTTCCTTGTAGCACTTGCATTTCCAGGCTCCCGTTCTTTCATGCACACTCGCCTCAGCCGAGTCCTGACCCTCTAATGCGGCCACCGCTTGTGCTCAGCCCGCTGCAATAGCTGTAATTCAGAAGGAGCAAAACAGGTTCATCCCCATGTGGGCTCCTCATTGATTTCTGATTCCTTCTGCTCCATCTCTGCCGACGGAGCCCGCGCGCCGCTGCGGCGCTCCCCTAACGTGCGCGATGCTCTTGCAGGCCAATCTGCCCCTGCTCCAGCGGGAGCTGCTGCACTGTGCAAGGCTAGCCAAGCAGAACCCAGCCCAGTACCTCGCTCAGCACGAACAGCTGCTTCTGGATGCCAGCACCACCTCACCTGTTGACTCCTCAGAGCTGCTTCTCGATGTGAACGAAAACGGGAAGAGGCGAACTCCAGACAGGTGAGAGCGCCGGGGTCGCACGGGCCGGTGCATGCACGGGGGCAGCTCTGCTGCTTTGCCCTGGTTTCACGTGTCCTTACCCCTTTGCAGTGGTGAGATTGCAGCTGTGCATGAGTGCATGTGTGTACAGACGTGTGAATCAGTGTGTGCCTGTGGCTGTGTGTACACAGATACGCACACACTGACGCCAGACAGCAGGACCCTGGGCTTGCACGTGACAAGCCCAAGGAGCCAATGTGGCCGTATCTAAATAGAAATAATGCAGAACAGACACAGCTATAGTAACTATTTGGTGCATAGTGTTTCTGCACAGCTTAAAGTGATTAGCAGATCATTCCAGCTCTGTATGTAAATACTTTGTATGGAAGGCTTTGCTGCAATAAATATTAAATAGAGGGCGAATAGATCGGCACTTATATTGGGAAGCACAAGGCAAGCTCCAGAGCACATCCAGAGCTTTGATTCCTAATTCTGGTCTGCTGTGTTTTACACAGTGCATTAGGATATGTTTAACATTTCTTTCAAGCAGAGAAGGAGTTCACTGAAATCAGTTGTATTGCTGAGCAGAGGAAGGTTCCCTGTGAAAGCAGAGAGCAAGCGAGCACATGTGTGTTTGTGTTACACTAGCTTTAGGGAGTTGGAACAGTTTTCCCTTTTTCTTATTTGAATAAACTTCTGTGTTTAGTATTACAAGAAAATGACTCTTGTGGTTATTTGTTTTTAGTTGCCTTTCTGTAATAGTGTTAGAAATTCAGTTGGCATGTAAATATTACCTTTGGGAGGCCCAAATACTGTATTTTTGCTAGTTTTCTTTGCCATGAGTGCTCTGACAAATGCCTCTACCTGCATGCACAGGATATTGCCAGGGTCCTGGTTATCTCTGAAAGGAAAAAGAGCAAGATTTGCAAAGCCTCCAGAGATTGCAAGTTTTGTACAGGTGACTTTTTTGTGTATAGACAGAGAGTGATAGCATAAAACAGGAAATTTAAGAAGAAAACAAAATCTGAAGGCTGTTGAGGCTCATAGACTGAAATTCAGCACCAAATATTTGTGCATTTGTGCATATCTGTGCATTAGAGATTCATGATTCAGAGCTGCTACTTCTAGAAAATGTCTCTAGTAATATTTGAAGCTACCCATAGCAGGAATTGAACAGTAAAAATATTAAAGTAACATAGCCATTAGATAAAAGAAAGGGTTTGAAATGCATTTGCCTTTGGTCATATTTCACTTGCTTATAGAACTGAGGAAAGATGCCTAATTTTCAGAAATTATCCTTGTAGTTTGTTACTCCTTGGAAAGGGAAGACTGCAATTCAGCCCTGTGTAGCAGAGGGGCTGCATATCCTCAACCATTGCAGAGTAGTGTACCAAAACGTGTAGAAACAAAATGTTCTGTGTATTATTCTGTGACTTAACTTAAATATGAGCACGGTAAAGACCAATGTCAGATGTAGAGTGTTGTGTCTTCTCCAAACAGACAGACACGCATTGAAATATCTCTTTAAGTCGGTGAGGTCTTGGTTAACAGAGAATGTAGAAGAGGGACATGCCTTCCCGATAGCTTTCACTAAAGTACCATTTCCTGAGGAATGAAGGCCTTCCTCATACTCCTTCCAGCTCTGGGAGTCTTGAATTCCTTTCGGTTTAGTAATACAGCCTTGGGGTGAAGGCTGGAGAGTTTTACAGAGTGTTGTGGTTGAGGATGGTCACCTCGGAGATGGGACTGGTGAGTTTGATGGCCTTGGTTTGCAGAGAGGCTGAAATCCAGGTATCTGTCTCTGCTGGTGGCTCTGCATGGGCTCACTGTGTCCATCTCGTCTGGCTCATCCGAGCTTTGCATTAATCTAGCGGCTGATCTGAGCTTTAGGCTGATCAGAGCTTGGTGTTGCCAGCACTTTAAGCAGGATCAAAGTACATCTTCTGCATGAGGCCTCCAAAGCAACCCAAGTAGACAAAGACTCAGTTTATGAATTCCAAGTGAACCATGAGAGAAGGACCAAGACAGCCTAGGGAAGTTGTGCCTGGCCTGAGCACATCAGGTGGCAGAATAAGCCTGTTTTGTGGGTGGAAACACAGTGTGTATAGCCTCAGAGGTGCCTAAGCAATTAAGCAGTAGTTTTTGTGGACTACTTGAAATTAGATTCCTTGATTCTGTAAAAGTAGTATTTCTGAAACATATATTCTTTTGTTTTGACCAGAGGTTGTTTGATTGCTGTCAAAGATGACCTTAAAAGACTGCCTATTTTACCTATTGGAATAGTTCCTTAAGTCAAAAAAGTAAACACCGTTTTTGGAGTTTCAATATCAATGTGGACCCCATTGCTGGTTAGTTGTGGCTGGGTCTCCACTGACTGTGATCAAAGTTATACAGAAAAGGAACAACTGTAGTTTCAGCTGAATCAGGACCAGTGGAATAGTCTTGTGCACCCAAAAATATCTGTACTGCAGATTCAGTAAAATGAACAGGAGCCTGTTGGAAGGGTTCTGAATTTGAGGGTTTGCGTGGGAGTATTTCCCACTCTTCATGGGAGTTTGCATGCCTTTCGGTTTGGATAATACAAGGAAAGCCAACCCCCAAAAAGCTGTCCTCAGGCCCAGATCATGCTTAGACCAACTGAGTATTGAAATCCAGTATTTGCCTTGCTTAATGTTCATTAAGGTATTGATTAATTTTAATTTTTTGTAGAGTGTCAGGAGGAAACATCTGGAGGAATATGTCTTTTGTTTAGATCTCGGGGTAGTTTTTAAATGCACTGATAAATATATAGTGGGAGTGGCTGCTACTACTCTGTTGCTAAAATATGAAAAAAAAAATCATGACTAGAAGGCAATGCCTTTTCAGGGGAACTAAGTGCAAATAGAACATTTAAGAGAGATGCCTCTCACTAAAGTAAATGGCATTATCTTCTTCACTACCCCTGGGAGATGGCTGCCTAAATAGTATGTGTATTTTATATATACACCTATGTTAGATGCACACACAAATATATTAGAAAGAGGTACACACATTCTTCCATATTTACATTATTCTTTTAAGAACAAATGAAGGCCTGCTGTGATTCCAGCAGAGGTGAAATTTTGCAAGGGATTCGCACTCAGAGCAGAATGTGTGTGTGGTGCATAAACACATGCACCTCTTGTGTGTTTTTTGGTTTTATTTTTGTTAAAATACACCTGCATATAGTATTTTTCTGCTTATATTTTCAGAATCTTGTTTGCATATGCATTTTCTAGTGCTAGTTATTTATCTGCATACCCAAATCTACTGTATGTGAGGTTTTATAGAGCAATCTGACAGCAGAGCTTCATGTTTTAGTGAATGTTTTCTTGGTGCATATGGTCTGACACGGATGAGCAGCCACGGTGAGATTTTGGAGTCTATTAAACTAGCTCATTAAAAAGATCAATCTGTTTCTGTAATAACACTGGGAACCATCAGTCACTGCAAGAGAGAAAAACTGACACCTGAGGAGACAACACATTTTGGTAATTTGTTCATGACATGTCATGAACAAAGTGTTCACTATATTTTGTTTACAACTTTTGGAGTTTACATTCTCCTGTAGTAAAGCAAAAGAACTTGGGCCAATATGAGTTTTTATTTTGGGGAATGAATGCCTAGTTGTAAATAACAGGTTTCTAAATACATTACTACAAAAGACATTTTTTGCTATTTAGTCATCCTTTGAGGTTGCTGGGAAAAAGTCTGTGGCAAATGAGCAAGTTATGTAGTGACTACATTTATGTTACCTACAAACCAGATATAGAAGATCCTTAGGCAAAAAAAGTCTGTTACCATTGAGAATGGGAAGAAAATGAAAGTGTTCGTGGTTGTTTTGTGGCTTCAGAAAGTGGCACTTCGTGAACCCTCGGTGCCCTGACACTGAATTGATACAGAAGATATCTGGGCACAGGGGCCAACTTTGATGCTTCTTTTAGGCAAATTCTGTTATTTCAAGAAGCTGCTAAGTGTCATGATTAATGAGGTGAAGGATGCTCAAGAGATCAAGCTGCTATGCTCCTTGGAAGCCTGCGTAATTATGACAATTTTTAAGAAAAAAATCTTGATATAAATAGTTAACATGGCAATATTCATCTCTTCATCTTCATCTCACGTGGTACTCTAAACAAAAAATATTTTTTCCCTAATAGAACATTAGTACTCCTTTGGTCATCAGGCTGATATTGGCAGAAGTCCAGTTTAAATAAAAGTAGCTTGCATAAATAGTGGATAAGGACTTTGTCTTGGTTTTATAAGCTGACTTCTCTATTCCTAGAAATTGGTGTAATATTCTGCATCAGATGAAAATTAATTTTCCAGTCTTTCATGATCTTATTTTTTATTCAGGAAATTACCTATAAATTGAAGTGATAACTTAAAAGCAACATAAGCTGTTTAAAGTGGGTACAGGATAATCACTAGCACCTACTTTGCTATCCCTAATACAGGCAAATAATGATTCCGAGAGAAACTCATCTCTCTGCTGTTTATAGCCAAAGGACCCCATCTTTTTAATATTACCAATTTTCTAAATGGCTGTGCGAATATACACACAGCTTTGAATACACATCAAGGAAAGAGTTGCCAATATGATGCAAGACATATCAAGAAAATGTATCAATTAGGCTTCCTACACATTTAATGTGATTTCCTGTCTATATCTTGTTTTACAAACTCTGATTTTGCTGCTTTGTAAAATCAGATGGTTCTGGCTGAAAATTATGTTTTTTGAACCCAGGACTGTTTTGTTTCAGTACTCATATGGGTCTGCTGTGGAACAGGAATGCTGCCTCGGGCACCTCGGGAAATGTCATGGTCCCAAGGGAGTGGGAAAATGAATCCAAGAAGAATGAGTAAGACTGTGATCAAAAAGGGAGGCAGAATAGTAGGTTGAGGTCAGGCCTTCTAAAGCATTGACTAGTTGTCTTTCTTTTATAACTGTTTTATTCAGTATATTCAGTTGTAGTGAATTTGCCAGTGATTTCTTTTGTGATGAGACTTTGGAAGTCATAACTTCACAGCTACCTTTTTCTATATTTTATTTAGTCAGAAATATTAAAGCAGTTTATGTACAAATTCTAGCATTTTGCTAAGTAGCTTTTTTGGACAGTGTAAAAACAAATTGTGGAATTAGGGTTTCAACACCCAGAAAGCAATTGACAGGCATTATGCAACATAATAACAAAAATAGGAATTGAATTTCGGTAAATGCATTTCCCATGGTAATGTTAGTTTCGATGTTAGTTGAAGTAGGGGTTCTAGAAGAAAATGGACGTGCTGATGTATTGTCCAAATTGCTACACTGCATTGCAATTAAAGTGCAGAGCATTAAAAATAGCCCAGAAGTACCTGTACAGTGAGGTGCAATTATCAACATTTGTAATAAATATACTGTTTTGGCATCTAACTGCATAGAAAAAAGCAAAAGCACACTTCCTGGTTGTTTTCCAGGGCCCCACGTTTTGTTTTCTGCTTTGCTCTTCCTACATTGAACTATTTGAAATAGTTGAGGAAGATGATTATTTATTTACAATTTCATTTTTCCTCCATCCTTGTTAGGGATGGTTCTAACTGCCACTCTGAAATTATTTTTTCAAACAATTTTAAAAAATAAAATCCTGTCCTTTTTACTGCAATCCTGCAGTTGTTTTTGTGGAACAAGTTATAAACCCCAGTTGACCAAAGTGTTTCTTTTATCTCTCTGTTAAAAATAATGATAGTTGTCCTGCTGTACTGGTGTAAAATTCTCCTCCCTTCACCATAATTAAATATAATAAAATGCATATTTTTGCCCGCTTCACTGGCATTACTGACTGTGGTGAGATTCCTGGAAAATCTGTCTTTGTTCCTCCTGAAAACAGTGGAATTGATCTTTTCATGTCCTCATGGTAATTGCTAGTCCTTACTTTGATCCCCATGGACATTGGCAAAGCTTTGGCTTCTCTCTTTCTCTGCCCGTTGACATTAAAGGAGGTCCTAGTGAGACACAGCCATGAATACACTGGGTGTTTCTCTAGAGATGGTCACTCATGGTTGCCTTGCTTGGTGGGGTGGTTTGCTGAAGAGGGTTGGTTTACTTTTCTTCTTTGACAGCAGGCAAATAATTTAAGAAAATTTGTTCAAATTTACCTTCCTGTCAAACTGACAAAGATTTTTGTTACTAGGGAGATTTTATGTCATCCGTAAATCATGGAGGAGGAAGTTCTCAGAGAGCTATACTGGAACTTAGGTTATATGACTTCATAAAATGTTTTTCAGCTTTTAGACAAGTTAGACTTTTTTTTTTTTTTTTTTTTTTTTTTTAAGAAAAGCAGGATTTCCTCATCTGTTTGATAAAGATTTTTGGAGGGAGGGGCTGAACAGTTTGAAATATTTACATTTAATAACTCTTCACAGCTAGTCTTGGTTTGGTCATTGCACTGGCATCAGAACTATTCTATGTTGAAACAAAGCTTCCCTGAAAGCAATTGTGAAGCCAGTAAAGTAACTCTAGCTTTTCTTTCTACTTCGTTTTATTGGAAAATTAATTCAGTGCAAGTTCCAAGCTCTCACCTTCATGGACAGAGGTTAAAGATTAGTGTTGTGATCATTGGCATTATATTAGCTCTGAGTTGGTATCCTTATGTCCAGAGTTCAAACTGAAATTTACACCATTACTTTGGGCCTGACAGTAACTTTCATGTCACTCTCTGAAGGTACCTCCGGATAAAGCGCTGCCGGTTACGGCGTATTGGGGTGGAGAATCTTGAAGGTTATTTAAGTAGGTCTTTCTGTGAAACTAACAGCAGGCCCAGCACCTTGTAGTGAAATAGCCAAGGTGCTACAAAACCTGTGAAGAAAACATTTCTTCTCAAGTCATTCTTGCCCACGAGACTGATCTGAAAAGCTTCTGTTACCATGTTGTTCTGGTCCTGGAGGTTAAATCATGGTGGCGTAACTTAGAGCGCAGGTTCAGCATGCTGAACACACAGCCTAGACTGTGTGCTGTCCTCTGCAGAAAAAGATATTTCCTAAATATAAAGGTTCTCCTAGTCACTGTGTTCAGTAGTAGCATTAAGAGTGGCTGTAGCTTGGCCCTTTGCTTTGTGCATGATTTGATCACCCTGTGGCTTCAGCAAATGCTGCTCTCCCTCCACTGCTGCTTTTTAGGCTGTTCCATGGGAAGGGCCACCTGCCCAGTATTTGTTAAGCTCCAGGGATAGTTAAACAGGGTGAATGTGTCATTTGTACGTTTTGAATGACCATGGTTATTAAAAGTTGTGCGAAACCACATTTGGAGCACAGATAAAGAGTAAACTTTAGTTCTTAAAGCATCGTGTGCATGTGGGGGTGCATGTGTCTAAATAGCCCTGCTCACAAAGGGCTATAATAAAAGTCCCTTTGCTTCCTTTTGCAGAACCAAAGAAAACGGCTTTGACAGAGAGCCTTTGCACTCAGAGCATCCAAGCAAGCGGCCCTGCACTATTAGCCCAGGCCAGCGGTACAGTCCAAATAATGGCTTATCTTATCAGCCCAATGGTCTGCCTCATCCCACGCCACCTCCACCTCAGCATTACCGTTTGGATGATATGGCCATTGCCCACCACTACAGGGACTCATACAGACACCCCAACCACAGGGACCTCAGGGACAGAAACAGACCTATGGGTAAGGCACGTTGATTTGCTGCGTTGTTCTTGACAAGTTGCTGTTTTCCTTGTAATTATACTCTCTCTTCTGGTTTGGGGCTTTATTTTTTTGATGATAAAATAGACCCACTCGTCACATACAGCCTTTGTGGATGATTGTCCATCTAGAGGCTCCCAATGGCCTGGTTATTTCAGGCTTGGCTAAACAGAGCCCTTTCTTGTCTTGAGTGCCACGTTTGTGACAGCAACAAACGTGCTATAAATTTGTTTCGGTTTAGGCAGGAGGGAAGTTGTTAGCCTTTGGAGGCATGTTCCTTGGGTGACATCTCAAGGAGCACCTCACTTGGTGATGTGTGTCCGGGAGGCCTCCAGCAGGAGCAGCACAGCCCGTGCGGGCCTGCACTGGCAGCACATTTTGCTTCATGAAGATGTCTGAATACCTGGGATTTGCCTGACTTCACATCCACACATACTATTTTTTTCTTCCTTTAAACAAATCTTCAGTCAAAGAGGGACATTTACAAATAATCAGCAGATGTAGAGAGGAGTCTAAGCAGAAAGCAAGTGTCGCTTCCTAGGAGTGCTGATGGTCTTGGTTCTACTGTGTGGTCAACTGCTACATTTTAACCACATGTGATTTAAACATCTGTCAAAGGATGAACCCTCAATGATTGTGTGTTGATATGGTAATAATTACTGCATTTAATGAAATAACATCCAGCTTATACTAACATTTTTTCAGCTCTTTGAAGTACTGCTAGTGTTTGATAAAGTTGATTATCAGATATTGTCTCTCTCACTTCTTCAAATAGTCCAAATTAAATAAATATATATTAATTATGGTCTTATGTAGTCAGAAGAGATCATGTTCTTAACAGGTCATCTGGTGATCAACAGAGCTTACAAATACTGGAGACAGTAAATTCAGTAAAATGGAGGGAGTGAGGGGAAAAGTTCTAAAGAGAACTTAGGCCTAAGTTTTTCCGTTTATTTTTATAGTGATATTTCTGTAACAAGACCAGGAATGTTTTTTTTTATGAATTTAAAAATAAATAATAAAATCTGAAACTTATTAGAGGTGTTATCAGGATGAGAGTATCTAATTTTAAATATTGGAATAACTGCACTTTCCTAATAAAATAAAAATTAAAATTTATGCCATTACTTCCCTATTTTTCTTCACATTAAGACTAATTTTAAACTTAAGGAAAGCTTGAGATCCATATAACCACATAAAAAGAAGAATGATTATGAAATCATAACTCTTTCAAATATATTTGAGAATGAATTCAATTAAGTTAGAGTAATGATTGCTAAGGAATCTGTTTGACATTACATTTGTTATCAAAAATCTTCAGTTTTACCTTTTCATTCAAAGATGATGGCAATTAATTCTATGTATATTTTAATATCCTAAGGCAACTGTTGCTGTTAGAGCACCATAATAAAGCTACCCCAGAATTCAGTTAAGCTAGTTTAAGTGAATAGAACAGTGGCAAAATAGATGTTTGATGCTGTAAAACATTTAAATATGTCTTACATTCTGTGTATTCTTTTTATCAGTGGGTTTAATCGTTTAAGGAGTACCTATGTTTAGTTAACGTTTTTACATAATCTGTGCTGAGATTGGTAAACTTCAAGTAACAGGTATTTCTGATTCTAAGGAATGTCTGCAGAACCTTCCTTAAAATTGGCGTGCTTAGCAGCAGATGACTATAGTAGGTATCTAGCTTCTGTGTGCAGGTGCATCTGGAAGTGCACATGTATACATATGCATGTATATATATGATATGTATGTTGCCACTTATATCCTCAAGACTCTGTTTTCTTCTTTTTTTCCCCCTAGAGGACTACCAACACTGTAAACATGATTTGCTCCTTTTTGGCAGGGTTGCATGGCACACGTCAAGAAGAAATGATTGATCACAGGCTAACAGACAGAGAATGGGCAGAAGAATGGAAACACCTTGACCATGTAAGGACGACTATATGTAAAAGTGACTGAAGGGAATTCTGTATGCCATAAGCAAAACCAAGTTAAATAGCATATAAAGCATAACTTTTTCTTTTAAAACAAACCTGCATCCCAGGACAAGTTTTCAAAGTATTGGTGACTAATATGTGAGCCTGATGTTCCCCATTAGGTAGCTTATATTTGCCCTTGCTGTTCAAATGCTTGTTGCTGAATCCTAATTGCTATAGAATGCCAAATGCAGATAGGATGTTGCTCTCTGAAGCCTGGATTTGGAACGGATAGAATGGATAATCGTATTTGTTCTTTGAATTTATTAGCTCTGATAATGTTAGTTGGCAACAGTTCTGTGCCACATAACCCTGGGCTGCTGTGGTGCCCTGTCCCACTAGTGATGGGTCTACAGTAATTTGAGTGTTTTCATCCTCTTTCTTTCCCTTTTGCCCATAAATTCACATCTATATAGATTAGGATCACCAGCTAAAGAGATGTTTTTCCATATACATTTGAAGGACCAGTGAGAAACTCTTTCACTAGTAGAACTCAGGCATTCAGCACATAAATATTTTCTTTATATGTTAGTCAGTTTGTGAGTTCATTTTTTGTTTACTGAGTGTTCTTTTTTATTTCTCTCTTCCACCACTGTGGACAGCTGTTAAACTGTATAATGGACATGGTGGAAAAAACTAGGCGATCTCTCACTGTACTCCGGCGGTGTCAAGAAGCAGACCGTGAGGAGCTGAATTACTGGATACGGCGGTACAGTGATGCAGAAGATTTAAAAAAAGGCGGTAACAGCAGCAGTAGTCATTCCAGACAGCAGAGTCCAGTGAATCCGGATCCAGTTACATTAGGTACAGTATTCTCCCTTAAATTTTTTTATCAGTCTTGTATGAGCTAAGTGGCAGGTGAAGTTCAGATTTGTCCTTCTGATTCTTCCTCCTTGATGGGGATGAGGTCTTCCTCTGTGCTAATTACTGAATTCACTCCAACTTCTGTGCTCTAGTAGTCTTGTTTGCATGTGACGTGGTTTGGGGGTCTTGGTGGTTCTTGGGAATTTGCTTTCCATTCAGCAGTGTAGGAGGGTGGTGGAGTGGGAAAACAGAATATTTTGGCTCGCACTCCCTTCTCTCTCTCTTTCCTGCCAATGTTATAAGCAAAACTTTAGGTGCTTCTGGACTGCTAGCTTTAACCTTCTAAATAGACTGAGACTTGGAAAATATCTGTTTTAAAGAAATAAAGAGACATACAAAGATGCTGGCCCTTCTTAGCTGTCCTTGGTTTGAATACAACAAACAACAGTCCCACCGGGTATTGGCCGTTGTCCTCCCTGAACGCCCCGGTCTCTCTCATCTGCAGCTCCTGCAGGTGTAGCTGAGCCGCCCCGGGCCCTGTTCCGGTTGTAGTTACAGCCTCACTGAGCTCAGGTCAGGCTACAAAGCCCACTTAACAAGCAGTCCAGGTAATGGACCAAAATGCCGCAAAATTGGCTTGAGATGACTGCTGTATAAATACAAGCATTTATTCTGTGTTCTTCCAGTAATTCGTTAATATTATTTGGACTGCTTCTCCCATCCCGTTACTTTTATGGCAAGTGGAAGGTGTAGAGAGAGATATCTCAGTGGTGCCTTTTAATTGCTCTCTGTTCCTTGGAAGAGAGCAACAAACTAAGATTCTTGATCTATAATTTGACTTTCACACACACACACCCACACACACAAAAAGGCCGTATCAAATGCCCTCTGCCTGCGGTCATCATAAACTCTGGTCATTAGAAGAATTGAGTATTTATGGTTAAAAAAACATTTTGAGTCTATGTTCTTTTTCTCCTCAAGAATAGCTTTTTAATTCTAAAATCTATTTAATAGCATATAGATAAATTTAAAAAAATGCCCTCTCCACAGTCCTATTGGTAAATCAGTAGAGCTCTTACTGTAATATTTAGTGCTTCTTCATAACAAGCGAATCTCCCTCCCTCCCTCCCTCCCTCCTTCCCTCCCTCCTTCCCTCCCTTCCTCCCTTCCTTCTCTCTTTCTTTTTCCCCTTCTTTCTTTCTCCTTTCTCCCTCTCTCCCTTTCTTTCTTCCTTTCTGACTTTCTTTTTCCTCAATGATTTAAGTCAATGGGATTATAAATTAGCTTTAGGCAGTGAAAGGAGGGGTTATGGAAATGCTGTTCCAAGCTTCACTAATAAGTCTAGTCTCTAGAGAAGCCCTTCTCAGAAAGAAGCGTTCAGGTAATGGCTTGTATGAATAGTATTAAATGTAATGTACAGAAAGACTCATAAATATGACATCTGAAATGTTCATCACGTCTGCTGCTTCTGAAAAAAAAGCACTTGTGAGGAAGGCCCTAGATCAAAACAGTGCTACCCATCTATAGTAAAGCTGTAATGCAAAAAGAGCCAGACCATCATTCCTATAAGGATATTTTTCTTTGCTTGTGTTTTTTAAATGTAGTTTGTAAGTAGAAAGGTGAGAGTGCCTTTTTTTTTTTTTTGTAATTTCCTCCAAGAAACTGAAACTCAAGACCATTCGTCAAAACCTTATAGATGATAATACAATCCAGGAAAGATGGAATAAAAATGCTTATTTTCTTGATAAAATGAAGAGCAAACAAATAGAAAAAAAGAGTCATTTTGCTTGGCTGTGTATTTGTCAAGATGAATTCTTGGAACCAGCAAAGCCTAATTCCCTAAAAAGACAAATGACACAGCCTGTGGCAGCGTTATATGGCATTATATGACACAACAGTTATGTCCATGGTGTTATGGCTGCAGTTTAACTGATTGGAGCAAGGCCATTTCATTCAAACACTCCCCTTTTAGTTAGTTGGTCTTAAAAACTACTTCCCTGGACTTCAAGACATGTAACGTGTAATGCTTCAGTGATAGAGTATTCATGTCTGTCATAAATATTGGTAAGAAATGCTTTATATCTGACATGAAGGCACAAGATACTTGAAATTTCAGAGTCTAAGAAAATCTAATCATTATATTTCCATAAATCTGGTAGAAATCTAGATAACGAAATGAAAATTCTGAAAATACAGGTGTAATGTAATTGAAGTCATATCTGTGAACCTCGACCCTGTTTTGTTGGGGTTTTTATTTTATTTTGGTTTTGAAGGGAGAAGGAAGGGAGGAGATGAAGGCACTGAAAAAATCCTCCGATATTTTAATTAAAGTGCCAGAGCAAGTAAATATTGCTTTTTGCTGCAAGGATTCTAAATGTCAGTGATTCCCCTTTGTATTTTTTTTAACGAGGTAATCCACCCTTTAAAAATTGCCATCTTGTCATCTCCACTGGCAAGGGGGAAAAAAGGGTGCCATATGGCTACATTGTTTGTGCCTTTGTTTCTTTTTCAGTATGATTAAAATAGAATCAGTGAAGTCAGAAGTTCTCACTGTAAACATTATGTTCTCACTGAAGTACTGGGAACTGCAATTTAGCATAGGTAATTCGGATCCATAAGAAATTGGAAAAAATGCTGGTCATTTTGAATCAATAGACCTTTTTTATTACTGCAAAAGATTTTTGTGCTTCTTTTAGCTTGACATCTCTGCAAGAGATTTCTGAATTTGACAGTTCACAGTATTTTTCAATATTTTATTTGTTCAATATTTTTCTGGTGATATTTTTACGTGAGAAATCAAATGGAATATTTAATACTTAGTAATCCAGTTCATGCATTAGCAGCTTAAGAATCTTTATTTTCTACGTGTGTGTTGAAGGTAGGATAGGTCAATTCCTTTTAGCTGCAATTATAGATGTTTTTGAAAGTCTAAAAATGACTCAGGCTTTACATATCTGCACTTGATAGACTGTGGCGGTCTATGAAGTGAATAATACATGATCTCACTTCTTCATTTCTATTGAAGAATTTCAGTACTACAGACTACGAGACTGAAACTTCATCCTTGCAGTGAATAATTACACGTATCAAACAATGTATATTGAAATACACCGAGTCGGATAAATTAAAGATGAGGGTTCTTCAGCATTGTGGGTTATAAACAAGATCTATAACCTTACTGAGTGCAGCCTGTGTCTCTAGATAAGTGGTGTAGGCACACATCAGAAGCTCTGCAGCGGTGTTGGTATTTTGTGTCTGTTGAATTTATCTGACCGGAAAACTTACAAAATAGAGTTTGAAATCTCCAACTGGAGAGTGCCAGTGCCTGCAGGTTTTCCCCTAGGAAGTCAGAAGTCTCAGAAAGATAGGAATTTGCCAAAAATACATAGGTTAACCACTTCTTAATATATTTGTAAATCTGACAAACATATTAGAGCTGGTCTATATTTTATCAAAGGCTGCTCACTCAAATACTTTCTCTGTTAGCCAGGACATTCCCGCTGACATGTCTGTACATGCAGCTAATATAAACTCTCCCCTTTGCCATTTGCAGATCATCAGCAGTGCTGTGCTATGTGTGGCATTCTCACCATGGACTGGCAGAATACCACAGTAACATTTACTACTTGTAATTCCAGCATGTAAAGCCCCTGTAATCATGGTCACTGATGCTGTTAAATCTTGCTCTTAATCCACTGGCTACACTGGAGGTTCAGGCTGGATTGTGGCATCCCGAATTGCATGCAATTGCGTAGAACTACAGCTGCAAAAACGTGTCTTTGTGTTCCCAGTATTCAAGTGCGATTTCCTTGGGCTAAGATAACTTTTATCAATTCCTGATACAACACTTGGTATTGTGGAGCTTAGCAAACTAGCTCATATGTGTCATAAAAGAAAGAAAAAATCTATAGTTGTCAGTTATTGGGAATTTGATCTTGGTTGGAGGTGATTCAGTAATACAGTACCTGCATGGTTTTCCTTTTCTTCTCTTTTGAAGAGACCAATTCAAACTGTGCTTTGACCATAGTTTCATGTGTGTTCAAAGAGTATTCGAACAGTTATAAAAATATCTTACAGGTGAGACAAGAGCAACGATGTGCATAAAAATAATTGAAACTCGCCCCTTCCCCTGTTCCCAGCCTCCATTTAGCCAATTAGGCTGATTCACTATTAGGCTTCTTCAGGTTTGTATCTATATATTCGAGCTTTTGGAGTGGCACACTCTGGAGCTTAACCACTATAAGCAAGGCAGTCAATAATGATTGCCCTTAATAGTTTTTTTACTTATCCTTGTGTCTCTGCAATGATGTGACATTTATTCTAGGGTGGAGTAAAATGAAAGTTGCATATGAGTATGGAAAGTATATAAGCACATACAAAAGCATGCGTTTTTCATATATGAAATCTATAGTTCTTTCAATATGATGTTTTCTTCATTGTAGCTTTTATTAGGCTCAAGCTCCAATATTCACTATGGCGTATAGGATGTTTTTTTCACTGCCTGTTTTGAAAAATACAATCAATGCGAAAAGGTCCTCAAAGTATAAACTGCTCAGCTCCTTTTCTTGCTCTTTTGTCATTACAGGCTTGGATGTCATTATCCAGTGATTAAAAACCTTCATTCTTTCATATTTTCAGCCCCTCTTGAGTTCCTTCTTTGCAAATACGGATTACACTTTTTGATATTTTTCAGCACAACTTTTCCTTCAAGTCTTTCTTTTTTGTTGTTGTTGATTTTTGTCCTTATTATCAAGTGAAAGTTTGTGTCCTTTGGTCCTAGCTTTGGTCTCAGTTTCATTTTCCAGATCTGTATTTAAATCTACTGCTACAACTCTTCACATCTCCCTCTTTAAGTACTAGCAGTACCTCTTCTTTATCTTAAAATAAATAAATAATTTTTGTACAAGGCATCTGTGCCTGCTTAACCTTGGAAACCTACTCGATTGATTGTCAATGATTCTTGTGCTTGTATGCATGCTTGAAATTAATACACCAGGGACTATATGGAACCTTACACCATATTGTGACGATAGGATGTATTTGTGGGTATTTTCTTTCTTATTAAAAATATCCAGGATGGAATAAAAATATTCTTTTTTATTATACTATTTTGTAAAACATATAATATTGTCCCCTGCTATTCAACAGCAGATGAGGACAAGAACTGAGAACAATTCTTTTGTGTCTTTTTCTGATCTCTATTCTTTATCTTTATTCTTATGTGCCAGTCCATGGACTTTCTTCCTGACAGGTAGATTTCAAACTAAAATAGAACATTACAAAAACTTTTTATATTTAAAAATTGCTTTCATTTTTGCCTCATTTAGGCTTTTTGTAGGCCAGTTCTGATTATTCTGATGTATATATGCTTTTTCCTCTCCTTGATGTACTATTTTGTGTAGTCTGGTAGGAACCAAGCTGATTACGAGCTCTTAGCATGCCATAAGATGAATTTCAAGTAAATTCAGCATTGTCCATCCTATTCCTCTTCTTCTGCCTAATAACTTTGTTGCATTTTCACCATTAGCAAACTTTTATATTGTCTCTGACATGTAAAACCTCTTCCATTATCCCTTTGTATGTCAGCTGCCCTGTCGCTTCGGGTTATTCCAATTTTGTTTGATTTCGTTCTGTCTGCTTTCAGGCAGCATTTCCTTTGACTTCTGGGTGCTGCAGGCATGCATTTAGTAGAATGCATTATTCCTCATTATGGCTTTTTTTCTTTGGTTTTATGTTTAATGTTTTAGTGACTTTGCTGAAATTCAGTGACTGGATTTTTGGATTTGCTGCTAGACCTTCAAATCTTTAAGTTTTATTGAGTTTTATTTTCAGTGAGAATCTTCTGTGGTTCTTAATCTGAAACATACCTTAGCATAAAAATTAGATCCTCTGGTCGTGTCCTGTAGTTTTGTCCCCTAAAGGAGATTACTCTTTGGTTTTGTGATCTCATCATCACTGACTAAACAATAGCCATGCTAATAATATTTTTCTTGCTTGGAAAATATGTTTTTTATTATCTTCATAAGAGCTTCTTGTCTTTTTTTTTCTTGTGTGTGTATTCTATTCCAGACTATGGGAAAGTATCTCACAAGTTTGGATTTAATTCTTATTGCAGAGGATCTCATTCCTCATGTAAATCATTTGTGGTTGGAATAAGAACTTGATTGATGTTTATGTTTTGGAAATTTCAACAATTAACTGGCAATCTGGTCATTTATGTCATTGAATTCCGTTTTTGGAAAGTCATGTGTACCAAAAATCAGCTCCACATCTCTGTTTTATTTTTGAGTATCGTGGTAGAGGGCTTGAATCAGAATTGTGATCCCCTTGGAGTAAGTAGTACCTTAAATAACACGTGGAAGAATCTAACAGAAAATATGACAAAAGATACAACAAAACTCTTACGTTGTCACATTTTGAGTCTGGCTGTATTTTGTAGTTATTCAGGAAAAGCAAACAAGCATGTTTTAATGCTTTACCTTAAGTTTCCCTGAGCTTTTCAATGTTTTCAACTGTTCCCATAATTCTTAAAACCTCCAAGGGATACACAATATTTGTAATTTACAGAATCATACAAGCCACCAGATTCTGCAAATTTCCATGTTTTCAGGATATACCTATCTCTATCATGGTGTTTAGTAGCAGTATGAATAGTTAGCTGTTTTGCAGCATCTTACGCACGCGCACACACACACAGTCACACACACACCCTTTATGCCTGAGAGGTGAGAAATTCTGCCCATAGAAATACATTCTATTTTCAGGCCTTACTTCAGTGATAAGCACAAGAGCTGGGGAAATCCACTCAGCTGCTTCTCAGATGGGAAGATCCAGTCCAGCCAGGCAGTGACTCCAGATACATGTGCTAGAAATTGCAAATTATCTATGGAGACTATGCAGGCATTCCCTGTTTTGAGTAGCTAAAACTGCACCTGGCATTTTCACCTTTGTTAACCACAGGCGGCTTAAGCAAACTAAATATTACAAACATTGTATCCACAAAATTAAATATCTTTTTTTGTTTTTTGTTTTTTTGTTTTTTTTTTTAGTTTCTATAGCCTACGGTGTATAAGGAGTACTACACGTATACGTATAATTGTTTAAAAAGCAATCTGTAAAACCCAACAATTCAGCCTTTTCTCATCCAAACAGCATGTTTTGATCATTATAATTTAATATAAAAAGGAATATTAAAAGGAATAAAAAATGCATATTAGAAGAATTGTGTTCACTTCTAGCAAAATTTCTAAAACAATATAAACTGTGAACCTATCTGTATTCTGGTAATAAACTAAGCAATTTAATTTTGACAACTGACTTTGCTACAAAGGCACTAATAATTTCGGCGGTGTAGTCATTTTAAAATTTTGAATTTTGCTTGTATTACATAGAAAATAGTTGAACAGTTTAAAATTCTTATTTCAAATTTTATGTGAAAGGAGCACTTTTTCATTTGCTGGGAGTCTTCATGCTGAATTTAAGGCCAACATGAATTTTGTTCTGTATAGTCTGATCTGGTGTCTGAAGGCGGTATTAAGGATTTTACTGTCTTCTTGGGCTTTCAAAAAGGGGGAGGCAGGGAAATATCCATCTCAAAATGTGATTTAAAATCTGGGTGAATTATGAACTTCATCTCCTCTAAAGTTTTTTTTGGAATATGCATTTAAGAGCTTAAAAAGTGAAGTTAAAGTTTTTGTTTCTGAAAATCCTGTTGCTAACACAGCCTCTGTATAGGAGAGCGTAGTTGTGAACATGCAGAAACACCCCTTTCTTTTCCTTATTTAATCACTGGAATGGCTTTTATGTGCCCTCACTCAGGTGAATGAAGCCGTCCTGTTTCCCCAGACCAAAAGTGCCAAATCGGGACTGTCTTTTTTACTTCTCCTAAACATAACTATGAAGGATGAAGACTGTCCCTCCCTCTTGCAAAGCCAGCCTTAAAAACATGAAAACTGGCATTTAGAGTTGACTTTAAACACTGTAAAACCAAATTAAAGCAAATCGGCCCAAGCTTGGTTTAAGATGAGACATTCAAGGCCTAAACATTGACCTGGGCAATGTGACATCCGCGAGCCACGGCCGCAGCATCCTTTCACTCTGTGCAAGGCAAACATTCCCGTGGTTTTGTGCGAGCGGTAGGCAGAGGGGAAGGGTGTTTCTGTGCCTTGTTGAACTGCCAAGCGTTGCTTATGGTGCTCTCTGTTTTTCCCTCTCCACCCCCTCCTCCTGTAGAGTCACATCGGGAATTCCTTCACAGGCCTGCTTCTGGATACGTGCCAGAGGAGATCTGGAAGAAAGCTGGTAAGAACTGTTTAAAAACACGAGCTCACTACGCTGGCAGCTGCGTGCAGTTGTTCAGGCGCTGACGGGCGGAATAAAGAGCCTTCTAGTAACAAGAAGAACTTGCATTTAGCAATCTTAAACCCGAACTGATCAGAACCTGAAATAATCTTTATGATAGAAGCATCTGCTGCCGTTGTTAAGGGACTATCAGTATTTCCATTAAGTGCCCCTATTTTCAGGGGTTATAAGGTTTTCAGGCTGAAATGTGATATTGCTAAAGTTTTTAGTCTGTAAGTAATTAAAAAAAAAAAAAAGATTTTCTGTGTGGGTATTTTAAAAGCTTCATGATTCTTACCTACTGAATCCCAAAGGAGAAAAAAATACCCCTAAGTGAAAGAAGTTCATATCTGTAATGTAAAAAATCTTAATTTTAAAAAGATTTTTGTGCCTGTCAGCCAGCAGTGAAGTCTGTGCTCGTAAACCTATTAAGTTTTGCTTTTTTGATGCTAATATATTGGCTACCTTATTTTTCACAGGGACGGAAATTAGCTTTTGATTAAATGGCAAACCTGCAGCAGTTTTGGTGCTTTCTGATCTAAACACCAGTAGCTGGCTGCTATTTGATATACGAGAGTAAATACAGAGCACCCATGTATAAATGTTATG